AGCAATGAATAGTAGTAATTTGTCAAACTATAGTAATGGTGCTTCAATGGTACACATGCTATTTTGGTAAATCTCAATCAACTTTCTCTTCAAATTTGTAGGTATTGTTTGAATATAAATTTTTTAGTGATTTTTTTTTTTTTTTTTGGTGACCTTTTTTTAACTGTTTGTAATTTTTTTTATATATATATTTTCATTATACCCGACTAGACAAATATAAAAAATGAAAAAAAATAAAAAAATTAAATATTTTTTGTTCCACTGTGTTTATTTACTTTTTTTATATTATTGTTCCATCTTTGGTATATTATTGTTCCACTGTGTTTATTTCTTCCATGAAAATTTTGGAACTAAATTTTGTTTATTTGGATGATGTGGCATGCCAAATTTGAGAGATGAAATGGCATTTGCCAAATTTGGCAACGGTTATAGCAACCCATTGGAGTAACATTTTTGAGAACTCTTGTCAAATTTTGACAATAACAGCTCAAATAGCTTATCATTGGAGATGCTCTAATAGTCTAGTGAGGTGGAATCACTGCACTTTTTGTATTATTTATTTATTTTATCTATTATTTATATATCCTTAACACATCTATTATGATTCTCTCTAACCTTGTTTGGCAAAGATTAAAATTTAATTTTTTAGATTAAAATTTAATTTTTTAGGTTAAAATTTACAAAAACACAAAATAGGCTGAAATTGTCAAAAGATAAAATGTTACATCAAACTCATAATTATTTTACTTTTTCTCTTACAAGCATCACATCCAATTACAAAAAAATCAAACCATCTTTTCAAACACAAAAATTTTATTTAGCCTACTAAAATAGTCAAAAACTAAAATAACCTATTAAAATAACCAACTTTCCAAACAAGGCCTAAATTAACAAACTCTTAATACACATTTTTAGATCTTACTTTTATAACTTTTTGTCATTTAACACACTTAAATACACAAAGTTCTCTATTGGAGATGCTCTTATTCAATTAGATTTTTAATTTTTCTGGACCTTATAAATAAGAAGTAAGGCTAAGTTTGGCATAACACAAAAAAGTCAAAAAGTCAAAAAGTCACTATCTTATTTAAGTCACATCATCTTATTTAAATCACATCACCTCCCTATCACATCACTTCAAATTCAACCCATATTTCATAAAAAGTCAAAAAATACACTTATTTAGATCATCCCAAACAACCCCTAAATTTTTATTGAGCGTTTGAACAAGAAGTGTTTTCTTTTGTCTTTATTTTTAAAACTCATGGATAATGAGATTTTTATTTCGTTGACAATTTGGATTATTATTATTTTTTTTTAAAAGGTCAAGGATTTGTTTATTTATTGATCCTATTGACGTGTTGTTTTTTATTTTGTTGAGCCTTTAAACTAGGCTCACTTCTTTCTTTTTTTTTTACTTGATTTTTCTTCTCCAAATATCAAACATAGTGCAAATTTCAAATTTTTGGAAAGTTGAAAGCCTTAACCTAAGTCGCCTAAGGGATTGGTCAACCATGGCTTGGGCATTTAACAAAGTATTTTTAACGAATTCACAACTCTACATCTACAAATATGAATACTTTACAAGCTTACTTAGTAAAATACCGAAACTACTCTATACATGTATCATGTGTATATAAAAATTTTAGACTCAGGCCTCGTTTGGAAACCTTCCTTTTTAGTCAAAAAGTTAAAAAGTTACTAAATTAACCAAAAAGCCAACAACCCATACCAAAAAGTCAAAGATTCTCTTTCTTTCTACTTTTTACACATCTTTTTGTAAAAAGTCAAAAAAGTAATCCCAAACATTCTAATTTTTTTTAGCTCATATTTTAGCTAAATAGCCAAAAAGTTACTCAATTAGCATGTTCCCAAATGAAGCCTAAGAAGCTAATTCTTTGAAATCAAGTCTAATTTACAACATGGTAACAATCTAATGTAAGTTGAGTTTGGACTGCTTTAATTGGTTAAATTTTTAAGTTTTCAATTATTGTCCATGAAGTGACTGATCAATATATGAAATATGCACATAAAGTCTGGTAAAGCCCACAAAACATATAGATATATACATAACAAATTAATGTTAGCAAAGTTAGACCTTTGGGTTGTGGAAGGAGACCGAAATCCACAAAAGCAATCTAAAAATAGTCATGCCCACGTTTTAAATTTGCTATTTGTTTTGTTTCTTTTAAATGTGTAAGATGCAATTTAATTAAAGTACCATGTGCATACAAAAAAAAAAAAAAAAAAAAAGAAAAAAAAAAAAAAAAAAAAAAAAGAAAAGATCTATTTGGAGCAGTATTTTTTAGGCTGAAAATTGATAGTAAGAAAGTATAAGTTAAAATAAAAGTATTTTTCTCTCTCAGCTTTAAATAATGATTTTTTTTTTTTTTCAATTTATGAAGTAAAAATTACGCCAAACATACTTGTACCACAACAAATAAAGGTTTTCAAGATAAATTTAATGACAAAATATTTTATTTGCCAAAAGTGTTATTATTGTATTTTTTAGCGACAAAATTAAACATTTAGTTAATGAATTACAATCATTTTTGACGAATTTTTTTTGTTTGAAAAAGTAAACCTTTTGGCACCAAATTGTTGTGTTTATTAACGATATTTTCAAAATTATTGCCAAAAAAATTTTTTTTATACTTTTCAAGACGATTTTTTAGCAATGATAGGAATTGATCTCCAAATATTTTTTGTAATCAAATTTTAACTTTTAAGATCAAAAAATTTGATTCTTAAAAGTCTTATATATTATTGTACACAATGTGTAGTGTACATAGACTCCCAAAATAATAAAATAAAAATAAAATAAAATTTATAAGCACATTAATCAGTATCAAGAAAACACAACACGTAATGGAGAAAGGAAAGAAAAGTGAAGCAATTTTCTTCGTTGTTACCCTTAAAAACATTTCATTACATGGGATCAACATCTACAATAGTATACTTTAAAACACTGTCAATTACAAGACATATTTGAGTTGTGCACGTTTCTTCCCCATAACAAACAAATGTCGATTAAAAAGATGAAGTGAAAAATACATATTACAATTCTAATATTAGGCTTACATTTGTTAAAGTTTTTTTTACGTTGTGTTTAGTTGGGAGATTTAGGAAGAAATTTTAAATGAAAAAAGAAAAAAAGTGTGTGAAACTAAGTAAAATATAAGTATATTTTATTTACTTTTTATCTACTTTTTTCTTTTCTTTTTTTAAATTCCTTCTCAAATCTCTCAACTAGATACAATATTAGATATAATATTTTATCTCAGCCTAGGTTTAGAAAAAATATTTTTAAATTAGTGATAAACTTTACAAATATTAAAAAGTGAAATCATAAAGTTTTTCATAAATATGCAATTGAATTTTAAAATTCTACTGACATGGAATTTCCCCTTTTCTTTATCCTCGTTTTAGTTCTTGTCATCCACTGGGAAAAAACAATGAAATGCTATATATAAATAATTTTTTACCAAATTTTATTTTCATGTATAATTGTTAATGTCTAGATCCTGCTATCTTTGTGTCTATTGGTAAAAATTCATTTATGTACATTCCTTTTCATATATTTTTGGTATATTATTGGAAGAGAGATAAGTTTTATTTGTAACAAAATTTGGACTTTTAACCTCCTATATATAGATGCACGAGTTCTGACTAATCAAACCAATCCACTTGCAAAATCTCACATACGAAAAGAGAAAAAGTTGATTATCAAAAAATTGAAAGATAAATTCTTTTTAACATTTATTTTTAATTACATAATACTTCTTTTAATTTTATTTTAATTTTCAATTTTTTAATTATCGAGTTTTAACTCCAAAACAAGACCAATACCAGTCATGTGGAGAGTTTGCGGTTGGCTTTAATACAGAAATATTAATCAGTATCAAGAAAACACAACACGTAATGGAGAAAGGAAAGAAAAGTGAAGCAATTTTCTTCGTTGTTACCCTTAAAAACATTTCATTACATGGGATCAACATCTACAATAGTATACTTTAAAACACTGTCAATTACAAGACATATTTGAGTTGTGCACGTTTCTTCCCCATAACAAACAAATGTCGATTGAAAAGATGATGTGAAAAATACATATTACAATTCTAATATTAGGCTTACATTTGTTAAAGTTTTTTTACGTTGTGTTTAGTTGGGAGATTTATGAAGAAATTTTAAAAGAAAAAAGAAAAAAAGTGTGTGAAATTAAGTAAATCTAAGTATATTTTATTTACTTTTTATCTACTTTTTTCTTTTCTTTTTTTAAATTCCTTCTCAAATCTCTCAACTAGACACAGTATTAGATAAAATATTTTATCTCAGCCTAGGTTTAGAAAAAATATTTTTAAATTAGTGATAAACTTTACAAATATTAAAAAGTGAAATCATAAAGTTTTTGATAAATATGCAATTGAATTTTAAAATTCTACTGACATGGAATTTCCCCTTTTCTTTATCCTCTTTTAAGTTCTTCTCATCCACTGGGGAAAAACAATGAAATGCTATATATAACTAATTTTTTACCAAATTTTATTTTCATGTATAAGTGTTAATGTCTAGATCCTGCCATCTTTGTGTCTATTGGTAAAAATTCATTTATGTACATTCCTTTTCATATATTTTTGGTATATTATTGGAAGAGAGATAAGTTTTATTTGTAACAAAATTTGGACTTTTAACCTCCTATATATAGATGCACGAGTTCTGACTAATCAAACCAATCCACTTGCAAAATCTCACATACGAAAAGAGAAAAAGTTGATTATCAAAAAATTGAAAGATAAATTCTTTTTAACATTTATTTTTAATTACATAATACTTCTTTTAATTTTATTTTAATTTTCAATTTTTTAATTATCGAGTTTTAACTCCAAAACAAGACCAATACCAGTCATGTGGAGAGTTTGCGGTTGGCTTTAATACAGAAATAGTAACAAATGCTCACACCTAACTTTAAGTGATGTAAAGCAAAGCTCTACATGTGAGAGCATATCTACTAGTATTGGAAGCCCATACTTTCTATATCACTTCCATCTCCTTTCTATTTCTCAACCCCAAACTGCACCACCATCACCGCCGTCACTGCTTATGCACAAAACCCCCCAACAAAAACCTTCCCAACCCCCATGTCTTCCCAAGTAATCTTCCAACCCCTTCATAATTTTCACTCCACAGACTTCAACTACAGCCTCCAATCCCACAACCTAGGTCTCCTTCTCATTGTCATCGTCTTCGCTGTCATCCTCCTCATCACCTGCTTATACTTCTACTACCATTTTGTCTGTCGCTACGGCCATCTTTTACTTCCAATCACCACCAACAACAACAACAACGACGACTTCAGCTCTGCGCCGCCACCACATGTACCGGCTGAGTTGCTTGGACTCGACTCCACCACCATCGACAAGTTACACACTTTTGTGCACCGGTCAATGCCCTCTTCCAACAAGGAAGAAGAAACTGAGTGCTCGATATGTTTGGGATTGTTTGAAGATGAAGATATTATTAAGGTGTTGCCTAAATGTCAGCATGCTTATCATACTCACTGTGTTGATAAATGGCTTAGGACTCGGTCAAGTTGTCCTCTCTGCAGAGCGACTCTCCAAGTAGTTCAATCTCCAAATGAATTTTGCAGTGATTCAATTGCAGAATAAGATAGTGAGAAGAAGAAGAAGAAGAAACCAAAAGAAGAGTCGATCAACGTTTTTCTTTCAATTACTTGGTTTTGTTTGTTTGGAAAGCATACATAATATAGAGTGCAATGGCCCCTCTCTTTTTCCAAGGATGTGGTGGCGAGGCGAGCGATTCTCTGTGTTGAAAATTTTATTTCTCTGTCTTCATTGTATTTGAAGTTAATACGATGCGAAGAGAATCTCAAAATCTAAAAAATTTATGATAAATATATTGAGATATTACGATAAGGAGACAGGTGATTTTCAAGACAGGTGTAATCTCATTTTTGCATACAGAAAAATTATTCAAAGTGATGAGATTATTTTGTGGAAATCATGAATTGTAAGGTCACTTCATTTTTTATGAAAATTTTACGAGTCCAGTCATGTACATTGCAACCTATGCTAATTAACAACTATATAAATTTTGAAAAAAAAAAAACATTTGTTTCTACGTCACTAATACTTCACCTGAGAGTATTTAGCTCTTCAAATTCCCAGAAAACAAATGTAATTTTTGTGCTTTTTGGTGACCTTTTTGATCTTCAAAATCTTCTAGATAGTGGACCTTCTTCTCTTCTTCTTCAGCCACACCCATTGGGCAGTCATACACATACTAGAGAGCTATCGATGGTCAACTCTTCTCATGCCATGAGCTTGGAAATACTATTTACCCAATAAAATAGTTATATTAACTTATCATTATTTCAAATTAAGAAAAAGTCATTACACTCGTTAAGTTTTTCACGATTGTTAGATGATATAATGTTGTAATGAAAAAGATTCAATCTGTAAAGTTGCTATTAATTTGAGGGAATGTGAAATTACTAGAATTTTTAAATAAAATTTGCTTCTAAATTGATATCACAGTAACATATTTATAAATTATACTCAAAATGATGAGTTTTATGTTTTAAATGAAGGAATCACAACAAACTATAATCTTCTGCATAATTATTCTATTTATGTATCACTGCCCTTAATTTGAAAGATTATCATTAAGTTTAGTCCGCCGTGATGAGTGGTGCATAAGTTGGGTCAAGTTTGAATAACAACAATAATAATATGAGTTTACAACCCTAAATCTCGGAGCCCAAAACAGACCAACATGAAATTACATGAAAGGAAACTACTAATAAATCTTAATTGTCGGACTTAATTTTCATTAAATCTTATTAAAAATAAGGCTTAATAAAATTATTGTTAAAAATAATTTTTTATGACAATTTTTTACATGTCGCTAAAAATTTATAATTAGCAACTTTTTTTTATCATGATTTTTGTAAATTATTGTTAAAACTTATAATTAGTTACGTTTTTCTGTAATAAATTTTTCAAATTGTCACTGAAAGTTAAAAATTAGTAAAACTTTTTGAGTAAATTACACTTTGCCCCCCTAAAGTTTCACCTATTTCCCACTTTGGTCCTTTAAGTTTAATTTTTCTCATTTTAACCTTTCATGTTTGCAAACCTTCTCACTTTGGCCCTTTAAGTTTAATTTTTTTCACTTTGTCCCTTCATGTTTGCAATTCATCCCACTTTGACTCTTTATATTTGCAATCCTTTCCACTTTATTCCTAGACTAACTTCTATCTAAAAAATTAACAAAACCTATCACATCACCAACACATCAACTCCATGTGTGATGTAAAAAATTCACTAAAGACACAAAAAATAAAAAATAAAAAACAAAAAAATTAGAATTTTTTTTAGTCTTTAGGGAACTTTTTTTTTCCAAATTTATTCATAAATATTATTACATTATAGATGCATCTAGATTGATGCAACTAAAAAAATAAAAACAAATTTAACTAAAAAAAAAAGTATACTAAAAACAAAAAAAAAAGAAAATATATTGATTCAAACCCCTGTATTGTCAATTCTGAAATGAAAAATTTACTATCTTTTTCTTCGTTTTTGGTGAACTTTTTTTCTTTTTTTATCTACATCTAATCTAGATGCATCTATAATATATTAATATTTTTGAATAAATTTGAAAAAAAATTCACCAAAGACTAAAAAAAAAATCAATTTTTTTATTTTTATTTTTTATTTTTTGCATCTTTAGTGAATTTTTTACATCATATATAGAGCTGATGTATTAATAATGTGACAAATTATGTTACTTTTTTTTGGATGAAAGTTAGTCTAGGAGTAAAGTGGAAAGAATTACAAACATGAAGAACCAAAATGGAAAAAATCAAACTTAAAGGGTCAAGGTGGAAAAGATTGCAAACATGAAGGATCAAAGTGTGAAAGATTGTAAACATAAAGGGCCAAAGTGAGAAAAATCAAATTTAAATGACCAAAGTGGGAAATGGATGAAACTTTAGGGGGCAAAGTGTAATTTACCCAATTCTTTTTTGTGATGATTTTTTTAAATTATCGTTAAAACTTATAATTAGTGATAATTTTTTGTGACAAAATTTTTAAATTGTCGCTAAAAATTAACAATCAGTAACATATTTTAATAGTAATTAATAAAAAATATTATTAATTATTATATAACTTATTGAACAATAAATTCACATATAGACTTATACGTAAGTCTCCCTCATCTAAATTTTACAAATTAGATTTGGGACAACAGTTGAACCCAGCAAAATTGAATTTTATTTTGGGTGATGCCCCATTAAAGTTCACTAAAAGCACGCCTTTAAGAGATAGATTGAATGGTAATTTGAATCCTCTAAAACCCACCATATTAAAAAAAAAGTGTTGCTATTAACATTTCATTAATTATTTTGAATTCTTAATTTTTTTAGACCCCCATTTATAAATTATAAAACTCTTAAAAATTCTTTTCTTCCCCTAAATAATATCAAAATTATCCTTATAAAAATATTTCACTTATTCAAATGCACACCACCATACACAAAAAAACCTCTCTTCCAAAACCCTAACAAAATCCACGACAATGGAACCTCTCAAAACTAGTGGAAAAAATGTGATTCAGAAATTTTTTCTCTACTTCATTACAAAGTTTGTCAATTTGTTTGGATTTTTTTTTTTTTCCTATTACCTCTTTTTACACACAACACAATCCGCGTTCATGCTTCTCTAGTTGATTTTCTGTCATTCATTCATGGCCTCACTGTACTTGTATGCTCTCTATGTGAGCAAAACTGGGTAGGATTTCACCCCTTGGTCAACCACCCAAGAGTGGTCTGATCTCCTTTGTTTGCTTGCTTCTACTGCTGCTTTGGTTATCTGTTCCCGAACAAATAATAAATGTTCGATTACCTATTCTTGAACAAATAAACAATATTCGGACTTATGTTCCCAAATTTCAATCATATATTTGAGAATTCAGTCCCGCAAAAATGACAAACAATTTTTATTATTTTTGTATTTTTTTTTTCAAAAAATTTACTCTTACAAGATCAATCTCCTCTAAGCTAAGAACACTATCAAAACTATTAACCTCTTCTAAGTTTTATTGTTGTACTCCTCTCGTCTCATAGAATTGTGGTTGTCGAAAAAATTTTCACTCATTGTCATTGTTGGATAAATGTATTTAATCAAATAATTGTCATCGCTGCCGTCGAAATATTGCCGTCAAAAAGTTTTGAAGGTTTTGAAGGTGAGATTTGAAAAAGATAGATGGGCGGTGATGGAAGTAAGTGCTCTCGTAAATCCTAACTCATGATGTAATGGATATGTGAGTTTAATTGTGACATAGGATATCTTAAAATTATTGATGTCTTTTTTAATAATTCACTTGAAGTTATTAATATAATTAAAAAAAAAGTTAAAAAATAATAGTCCAAAACAATTAATGAAGTGCTAATAGTAACATTTTAAAAAAAACTAAACACTCCGAATGAATTATTAAATAATTTATATCATAAAATATAATATTATATAAAATATTTAATAATTTCTTTCGTATTCCTAACGTTACGCATATATTAATGATGAGCCTATACTCCCGAACCATGTGATGGTTCTATTCAATGACTACTCTGTCAGATTTTGCATCTCCATTTGTTTCAACTTTTTCAACTACTTTTGCCTAATTAAGAGGGGGAAAAACAAGTTTTTAGTTCAGTTAAAAAGCTGATAATGTGAAAAAATTAAGCATGCACTCACCATTTATTTATTTATTATTTTTTTTTTTTTGTATAAACAGACGTCTAGTATTAAATCTGAGATTTGGAGGAAGCATGCTCTCAGGTTCCAAGTTGTATCTGTTAGGTCAACTTTGCAACCAAATTTTACATTAACGAAAAAAAGAATATGGCATTTATTAAGAGATTGTTTGGGGTATCCTGAATAAATGTACTTTTTGACTTTTTAGATTAAAAAATTGAGGAAAAAATATGATTGTTTGAGATAATTTTTTGACTTTTTATAAAAAAAATATGTATTAAAAAATTATATGAATTAGTGTATAGAAGAAGATTGAGATGAAATAGTACGGTGGGATAATTCAGGACCGCGTGTGTAGAGTGTGCCGGAGATATGATTCCTTGCTTTTTGGGCATTAAATTGGAGGTGTTGTTCGACTTGTGAGGGCCCACCATGGATCCTATTTTGCTAATCAAAACCGTTCAATATATAGAAATCGTTGAGTACTATGTGCTTGTAAAAAATCACGTTGATCGGATATTAATAGCTATCTGATCGAATTAGTTTTTTTTTCAACCGTTAACTATTCCACCATCCATTTTATAAATTTTAATTGATTGGATCATATACTTATCGATATCCGACCAATGTGATTTTTCATAAACATGCAGTATTTGACGAGTTCTACATATTCAACGGTTCACATTATTAAAATGGAACCCGTAATAGGCCCCTACAGACTGAACATCACCGTATTATTTATACACCAAAAACCGTGCAATTTTTTCAAAAAGTCACCTCAGCCTGTTGTACTCTAAAATGTTATTATGTGTTAAGTTAATTTTTTAATTTTTTTTTTTTTTTTGATGAATAGTGATGACTTTTTAATTATTTTTTTTTTAACTTTTTGTCTTTTTTCAAAGATTCCAAACCTGGCCTAAATGTAGCAATTTTTTCAGCAATAATTTTTTTTTATTTAAAAAAAAAAGTGAAAAACAAAAACACAAAACTACTAAAAAAAGTCATTACTAAACTAGTGTTAGGATTCAAATACGGCACTGCTCATTACTAAACTATTCACATTTATACATGTAAACATCTAATTGATATGAAGAGCTGGTGATTTCCAAATGTATCTTTTTTCATTCAAATATATCAATAATGTGAAAGAAATCACCAAATTACTACACCTGTCACTGCTAAACCCAAGTACATTAATATTACACTATGGACCTGTACACTAAAAGTAGTTTTATGAGATCTGAGGTATAAACTCTGACAATCTATTCAATGAAGCATGCATGTATGAAGCATGTTTAAACTCTCTCTCTCTCTCTTCTCTCTCTCTTCTCTCTCTGATCCATTAACATTGGAAGATGGATGAACCAAAGTTTCAGATCTATTCCTGTCCTCAGCTATTCTCTTTCAGTTGAGCCACCCAGCGATGCTGCTTAGGATGACAACGAAGAAGACGACAATCACTCCACTCTCACTCTCGTCATCAATTCGAGACCTCAACCAAAATTTCCAATTCAGAGCCCTCAGTAGTGATCACATTCACATCGTTCAATATCCAATTAGTGTCTGCAACCTTTTCCTCGCACGCTATTGCTACCGCTGCTCGACAAATCGGACAACTCGAGTGGGAATGCAACCACATGTCAATGCACTCGACATGAAACGCATGGCCACATCCCGGTAGCTTCCTACCCACGTCCTCCTCTTCAAACGCGCAAAGACAAATAACGCATTCCGACCAGCCACCACGGTCACGGTCATGATCAGATGATTCGTGCACGAACAGAGGTATCGAAGCAATGACCGAAGCCTCCAGGCCCTTGGTTGGAGAAATGGTTTCGAACGTTAACGTATTGAAATGGTGGAAACGAGCTGAACCCAAGACGTGAGAGACGGAGACCGAAGTCCTACTCCTATGACGAGCGTGGGCTAGAAACCATTTGGCGTAAATGTGGAGTATCAGAACAAAGAGAATTACCAGGAGTAAGGATATGATGGCGGCCAGCATGATGTTGTTGTTGTATGAGAATATGCTCCGAATGAGATTGCTCACCGGGTTCGAGGAGCTCTGCTTGGGTGAGTCCGGTGGGCTCAGCATTCTTGTTACATTAAAGAAACTAGTGAACATAAGAGACTAGTGTGGAGGATTTGTAGAAAACTTTGGGATCTCTGAACCTTTTCATGGGACTACGTTACGTGAATATAAAGTCGTTGACGACGGATTAAATTACGCGCATTGTGCCCTGGATTCTTCTACATTGCTTGTGCATGATGTTACCTAAACAAAACCTCCCCCTTTCTCTCTTTCTCTCTCTTATGGGGCTTTGAGGTCAAAAGGGAATCCCTTCTTCCAAGGAGTAAGTAGGAGAGATACAGAAAAGGGGTTGAAATGGAGGTCTCGTGAAGCATACGGCAGCAATAGGTGAATGTGCATATTTTAATGGCAGAAGGAATGGGTTTATTGTATTAATGTGGCCTTATTTTACAGGGTGATGAAGAAGATCCCAATACGAAATATATATATATATGTGTGTGTGTGTGTGTGTGTGTGTGTGTACAGAGGTAAATAATTGGGGGTTGTCGGGTAGGGTCCCAGATCAGGATTATTATCTTCAGGGGTCCCATGTGAAATAGACTGAGAGGGTCTTTTGACTTTACAATCACTACCCCACCATCACCAATCAGTAATAATAATAATACTATACTAGTCTAATGGGTACTATACTATTGGTTAGGTCACTTCATTTCCAGTTTTCCTGCATGAATTGGGCAAAGGGATCAACTTTGGGGTGGGTAGGCTCGTGAACCTCTCTCTGCCTCTTTCCCAAAAATTTCCCATTTTAATCACAGAAGCGCTGTCAGACTTCAGTGTACATAATCAGACACAACTACCTCACATGAAATGATTTACTGGGATCGAATTTTGCGCACATAGAAGAATTAATTCTTAAAATGGGTCCAAGGCCTAGATTGTGATCACTGAGTGCCATACCTAATGAGTTCCTTCTAAACAGCATGAATAATTGGAAAATATATGATCTGGGTTATGAGGTTAGAATTTCACACTGTAGGATTTATACGGGAAATAATGAATATATATATATATATAAACTAATCCAATACGCCTGAAGCATCCCAAAACTGATAGAATGTACCTTGACAAGTCCTCATTTTATCCCTGTTTGTGGTTAATGTGTGTTTAAGATAGAACTACTCATCCCGCTTGATAGTTTCTGCACCACAGCCGAATCACCTTTTCTTGTTCTTCTTTAGCTTTACCTTATGTTAGTTTGGGTTTCTGATAAAACATAGCTTAATCACTTAATAATTTCGTGAGGTGAAAGTGAACAATAACTGAGAAACAAACGGTTCATTAGGAATTTCACATAAATGTGACCATGACACCAAAATTTAGAATGGCATCAGATGCATGCTTCTCCCAAAGAAAAGAAACAAAAATGAAGAAAGAGAAACAATTTATGCACGGGAAGATGATGGTATTTTGACGGCAGATTAACAATTGATTGATAATTATTGTACTTACAAGTTACACATGCCTGTCATTGTTACACCTTGTTATTGAAGTTGTATAAAAACAAAGGAGAATTGTCTTGTCAATTTGAGCTTGTAACTTACAGTCCTAAAGAAAGTTCAATCCATGAGTTTATATCTTTTCTCTTGGACACCAGTAACCCCCATTTGTATCTCTATAATTGTGTGAAGTGGAATCTGAAAATTGCACCACTAATTTAGTAAGAATTAATATACTTAATTGCCCAATCAACAACTCAAAATCCAAATCCCAAGCAATTTGCTCAATAGTGTAATTGGAAATGGAACTAAAATATCCTCATGAAAGTGTGGAGAAAAATGCAGCTAAATAATAGATATTGAAGAAAATTCTTTAGTTCTCTAATATTCAAGAGTTACCTCAATATGTGGAACTTCTTTCAAAGGCCTATCAGCAAAATAAGAATATAATGCTCTCAATACCGCCTACAATAATAACAAAAAAATGAAAGGAAACAACAAAATTAGTTCACATATTCTGACCTCATGTCCTAATAAAAAAGAGAAGCAACGTGACATTATGTATGACCTGGTGAGATATCACCACAACAGGGGCACGCTGTCGTTCAAGCTCAATGATAACAGGCTCTAGCCTACAATTAGTAATACAGTTAATTTTACTGGAATAGTTAGAAACAAATTGATACCTTAAAAGGAATTATTATTTATTTAAAATTAAGACTTCACCTTTGGATTACATCCAGATAAGATTCTCCACGAGGATATCGATACCTCAACTTGTCCTTCTTACGTGACCTGAAATAAATTTCACAACATTATGCTATGAAATAAAAACAGAAAGCAGGTACAAATATACACATTTTAAAAAAAATTCCCAAGACCACTCTTTTCCGTGTAGGGGGAGGACTGAAGAATATATTTGGTGCACTAATAATTAATATATTTCATGCACAGTTCAAGTTTCTGCTAAATTTTTCCAAGAAGGAACTTTGTTCCGTACTCCAGCAATCTAGATTATAATACTGAGCAAGGATATGGATTGCACATAATTCAAATAGAGGTTCTAAGCTCAAAGATGTCCATTTATGTGGGTCACAGGACTAGTGGCCAGTATCCCAGCAGGGATACTGAGAGACAACCCTGACCCAGCAACCACAACTGAGTGGCCCCTTTGATTCGGCCAAGGCTCTTCTTTTTCATTTTGTCATTATTGAACTCCCCTGACATGAGTATCAAAAAAGAAAATAAATCAAGACTTGATGACTTGCTGCTTCTTTTAGATGGTCCCTTCATTTCTGCCAAGCATTACAATTTACAGCTTCCAAGTTGTGTGAATAAATGATGACTGCCCCGGGGGAATAAAGATGTAGCCATTATTATTATTTTTCTCATCTTTAGAAAACTCACCTAAGAGAAGAAGAAGAAGAAGAAGAAGAAGAAGAAGAAGAAGAAGAAGAAGAAAATCCATTACATAAAGAATTGCAACATACTCATATTCCTCAGGCATATTCTTCTTTATTTCTTCATATGTCATTCCATCACACACTCCAGCATTTATCTCTTCAAGTGCACGCCATTGTATCTGCAAAATCAAAGCATTGAACAGGCTCTTAGACTAGAATCTAGATACAAACAAACTCCTTTAGGGGGGTGGGGTAATGGGGACATTTTTCTGGCACCGACCTTTGGAAATCCAACGATTGAACCAGCTGTCAAAATTGTTCTCTGCAATGTGCTAGTCCATATCTAGGCCATATGCAAAAGCACACCAAATGGCTATAAGAATTTCTGGAAGCAAGCTTGTACAGAAATTTAAGGCATTTATATTCATCATTAACATAGCATTTGTGTACTCTAGTATGGTAACTGAGGCATACATTCCTCTCCTAAGAACAAAACTAAGCATTTGCTTCCAGAAAGGATGTCTAAATGCTATTCCAATGCAAAAAATTTCTAAATGGATCCAACTCCAATCCAACTGCTAGCTGTGGCATTTTCATGCTTGATTTTTATTTTTTATTTGGTACAGAGGAAAAGAACAGCAAAAAACAAAACTAAGCAGGCCTACCGTACGGTCTGCTTAACAGCAAAACACAAAACTAAGCTGGCCTACTGTACAGTCTGCAAAAAGCAGAGCACTAATTCCTGGGGGGATCTACTAGGCCTACAATGCATAAACTTTTCGGTTTAATGGCTGCAACATGGTAATGCTGTTCTCCTCCTTTATTGGTGAAGTTGTAGAATATAATTTTTCTACGTAGTTCAGAGTCATAGATTCATCCCTAGTGTATAAAAGGGAAGACAAAATCATCTAAAGGAAAGGCTTCCTAGCCACCAAAATGTGGTGGAACTGAACTAAATTGCCATCACAGCATGTCATCTTTATGATGCAGTCCACAAGCAGGCCCCAAGATGGGGAAATGAATGGCTAACAACCACAGCCTTAGGCAATTGTGGGGTGGTGAAATGAATGGCTAACCACAGCCTTAGGCATTAGCATGATCTGATTATACAGCGAAGGCCACATGATGACCCAAACAACCTGCAAAGACTGATACTAGAAGGATGGCCAAAGAAAGACCGGTGTGTTTTATCTGGTTCTTACTTCGTGGTAGTATCTAGGCTTTTTTTTTTCTCCTCCCTTCTTTGGGGCTTTTTTTACTGGAGGGACTGAAGCCCAAGTTGCATCATGCCTCAGCCCCCATGATAATAAAAGAGAGATTTCACTGTCATAATTTTTCAAGAATTATACCAATCAGGATCAGGGTGATTGAATCAAGCTAATGATCAGCAATCCACCTTTTTTTTATACTAGCCTCCTCGTTGGGGAGAAAAGTTACAGAATCAACAGAATATCCCATAAGTTATCATCATCACAACAAATAGAGAGCATAAAGACAGGTTTCCTTGGAAAGGAAAAGAAAAGTTGATGGATGTTTTGCGTTTGAGCAAAGATTGACAGAACACAAAGAATCAATCTTACACAAGTACTGGCAGTAAATAGAACATATATGTGGGTGATAGAGATTAGAGGCGATCGGTCGTTGACCTCTGGGAAGATGGTAGGCACTTCAATGACTTAAGATCACTGGAGGTGGAGGAGTAGAAGACCAGGCAAGCTTAGAGAGAGAAGAGGTGGCAGTGAGAGACCTTGAACACTTAATGTATGTTATGTGATTCTTGTTGCTCTTGCTGTGTGTTTTGGGCTGCACTTATGATGCCGTTATATAGACTCCAGGAGTATTGGAGCCCAAGCAACCTCAAGACAGGTGGCAAGTTCTCCTTGTTAACAGATGACAAAACTTGTGTCTATTGATTAATCAAAAGATGTACAAATATATAAGCAATAGAATGAAACCCTAATAACCTAAAGTACTAAACTATCCTTAATGAATAATATAAATTACATAATTCACACCCCCCCTCAAACTGAGGATACGAGCGCAGAAAGCATCGAAAGTTTGCCAAGAAGAAAATGAAAACGAGCAACAGTATGAGTCTTCGTAAAAAAATCGGCCAACTGAAGAGATGAGGGAACAAAAGGGAGAGTAATAGTGCCAGCCTGAAGATGCTGTCTGACAAAGTGACAATCTATTTCAACATGCTTTGTCCGCTCATGAAAGACTGAATTATATATTGTCTCGCAAACCAAGCACAACAAAACTCATCTTCCGGTTTCTGGGACAAGATGAAGTTGAGCCTTCTATTAACCAAACTTATGGTTTTCTATTAAGTAATTTGACATTTATCAGGACATTTGCTTCCGGAATTCTTGTTCCCAAGTCTTATATATGGCCTGTAGATAATCTATATTTACAGCCTCATACCTCAGTTGTTTTGGATGCTCATAAAGAAGGTCTAGAAGTTTTTGCGTCAGATTTTGCAAATGACGTACCTTTTGCCTACAATTTCAGTTATAACCCTGTAGCTGAGTATCTATCTTTTATTGACAATGGAAACTTCTCTGTGGATGGTGTGCTTTCTGACTTCCCAATAACTCCATCAGCGGCCATAGGTATGTAGCTCACTCGTATCATTTTATAGGTCACAGTCAATAGAATGTAAATCAGTGTTGATTGAGAAACTGTTTCACATCGGCCAACCCCTTTATTTAAAGAGATAAAAATCAAGTATTTATTAGAAAGCATGTAGCTCAATTTGATTAGAAGAAATATTTATTTCCTTTTCCTATAGGTCCCATGTGCTAAAGTGGCTTATTTTAATTAGCCCGCTTATTATCTTTGAAACTGCATCATTTTGACACATGTGATTCAGCCATTTGTGTAACTGTGAATTGAAACTTTTAGACACATGGCTATATTTTACTTGCCAATGAGTAGTTGTTCCTTGGGTGCATGCCAGATTTCATTTGTCAAAGTTTCTTTATGAAAGTTTTTGACCATTTCTACATAAATACTTAAATTTACTACTAGATTCATACTAATTGCTTAATCTCATAATCATTTCTTCAGATGTTAATTTTTCCTCTCTTTTCTAATATTGCAGCTTGTTTCTCTCACAGAGGCAGAAATGTGTCAGGACAAGGTATGCTACTATTATGTAGTGCTTCTTCCTTGCAACAGATTTTGTTCTTCCTGTTTTGCTTGTGGGTGGTATTAATGTCTGTGTAGTTTCTTTCTTGTGTATCTTTCGATGTACCATTATGAATTATTGGTTAAATAATTTGTTTTGCCGTGTCCATGGTTCAGAAAAGCCTTTGGTTATCTCATCAAAAAGATCGAGTGGGGACTACCCTGGTTGTACTGATTTGTGTAGACATTTGAATGGAATATATTACTTATTCAAGAAAATAAATTAGTGATTGGGGTTTTTTTGAGCAAATAATATACTAGTAATCATAGACACAAAAATCTAGTGAGACAAACCATTAATGTAAATGGGATAAGCGATAAGCCCTATCCTGTAAACCAAACTCAATCAAAGAAGGCACCATGTGATTGAATTGTTTAAATAAATAAACTATTTAACCCCATTATAAATAGTTTAGAGTAATTGAATTGTTTAAATAAATAAACTATTTAACCCCATTATAAATAGTTTAGAGTAATTGAATTGTTTAAATAAATAAACTATTTAACCCCATTATAAATAGTTTAGAGTAATTGAATTGTTTAAATAAATAAACTATTTAACCCCATTATAAATAGTTTAGAGTAATTGAATTGTTTAAATAAATAAACTATTTAACCCCATTATAAATAGTTTAGAGTAATTGAATTGTTTAAATAAATAAACTATTTAACCCCATTATAAATAGTTTAGAGTAATTGAATTGTTTAAATAAATAAACTATTTAACCCCATTATAAATAGTTTAGAGTAATTGAATTGTTTAAATAAATAAACTATTTAACCCCATTATAAATAGTTTAGAGTAATTGAATTGTTTAAATAAATAAACTATTTAACCCCATTATAAATAGTTTAGAGTAATTGAATTGTTTAAATAAATAAACTATTTAACCCCATTATAAATAGTTTAGAGTAATTGAATTGTTTAAATAAATAAACTATTTAACCCCATTATAAATAGTTTAGAGTAATTGAATTGTTTAAATAAATAAACTATTTAACCCCATTATAAATAGTTTAGAGTAATTGAATTGTTTAAATAAATAAACTATTTAACCCCATTATAAATAGTTTAGAGTAATTGAATTGTTTAAATAAATAAACTATTTAACCCCATTATAAATAGTTTAGAGTAATTGAATTGTTTAAATAAATAAACTATTTAACCCCATTATAAATAGTTTAGAGTAATTGAATTGTTTAAATAAATAAACTATTTAACCCCATTATAAATAGTTTAGAGTAATTGAATTGTTTAAATAAATAAACTATTTAACCCCATTATAAATAGTTTAGAGTAATTGAATTGTTTAAATAAATAAAAAAAAATCTACCATCTATATATTTGTCCAAATCCAAAAACCAATTTCTGCCATCTTTACCATTAGCTTAAATCTGATTGGTACTTTTTGAATCAAAAAAAAAAATCTGATTGGTACTTAAGTCGGTTGAATATCTCGATCTATATATCTGAATGATCATTTCATTAATTGTTGCTATTTTGAGTTACCGATCATATATTCTCAAATCTCTTTGTTCTTTTGTATCAAACCACTTGTAAATATTAAATTATATGAGAGTCGAGATATATAAAAATTTCAAGATATATACAAGTATTTGGAAATGAATAATGCTATATATATCAATTGATATATCAATTAATGTACTAACGAATGATGTGACATAATTTTAGAAATTTTGAACCTTTGTAATTTGTATAATGTATGTTAATCATAACTATGTTAATACACTAATTAGTATATCAATCAGTGTATATAGCACTACCGATTTTGAAATAGAAAAAACAAATAAATTTAAGACAGAGGACGCAAGCCGACATTCTAGATACCAAATTAGGATAAAATAATTTGGAGAAGTATGGATATGTATGGAAACAAACACTAAAACAAATTGAGGTCTAAACATCTCTTTACATAAAGGGCATCTGGACGTAAACACAATCTGAACAAAAAAAATGTTAAATTAATGTCAAAGTGAGGATTTAAAAAGTGCATAAGATTCCAACCAAGTAAGGTTCTACAAAATTATAAAAATTAATATTAATAATAAACAAATGTTAAAAGTTTTCAAAGGTGTAGGAGGTCTTTGGGAAAACAAGGTAAAACCGTTTTCCTTTTTCTTTTTTTAGCAAGACTAAGGTTCAAATTCAATAAAGATCCATGAATATTAGAGAGTCATAAAAAAGTCCAGAAGGGCTAATAAGGGAAGGGGATTTGCCATC